TTTCTTCATTGACTCCAATCAGTCTTATGTTATTCTTCTTTGCGTCATCTAGCAGCTGCTGGATTTATTTCTCATGCTCCCTTACAATTTTAAAGAAATTTTTCTTTTTCTGGTCATTAATTGCAATCTTATCTTCTATATCTGAAATTCTATCCTCACATTGGTTCATTCTGCTGCACAGACTCTTGATGGAGTTTTTAATCTCCTGGAAATCTGTTTGCATCTGTTTTATGGATTCCATTTGATTCCTATGTTGGGATTCCAACATATTCCTCAGATCCTCTATTTTTTTATCTGTGTCCTCTCTAGATTTATTAATCATGTCTTGCACCATGAGCAAAATCTTTGCTGTTATCTGAGTAATTATTTCTGATTTCATTTCTCCCAGGTTCTCTTTTGTTGCCAGTTCAGAGAGTCCAGGTGGTTGAGGTTCAGATTGTTCCATCTCGTTTCCCTTTGGGGTTGCTGTAGGTGATACGGAAGTCTGTTTTTGAGGCTTGTTTATGTGTCTTCTCAGTTCAGTTCCACAGGGGCGGGGGGGATGGTGCTTCTGGCGACTGAGGCGTGGCTCACTTTCTCTGCCCTAGGAGTTTGGGATGGTGGCAAGGGAGCTTCCTTCTGGGTTCTGGGACCGGCTCAGCTTCTCACTCCGTAGTGCATTTAAATATGGATTATTTTTGTCTTTTTTCAAATATTTTGCTCAAAACATTGTAACTTTTATTAAGTCTATCTTTTTGCACTGTCAGGCTTCCAATGTCTATAAGCATATTATACTTAAAAGTGTACAAGTCATTGGCTGGTTCAGTTACTTTTAAAGGACTTTTTATATTAAGTTAATTGTTAACTTATACCTGTTTACACTCAGTCTCAATTACGAAGATTTAGATAGACTAATGAAGACTAAAAATGTGTAAAGAACTGTAAATCTCACAAATAATTTAAAATATTCATTATGATAGTTACTAAGTAGAAATGAGACCATTATTTGTAAAAATTAATACCATAGTATCTATGATATTATAGGTTTCTATGCCAATCTTTATAGAGATTTCAGATATGTTTTTGCCTTTTGCTTTCATACTTACATATAATGTGGATCAATCATGAATATTTATGGTTTCAAATTCAAAATATATATAGTTTCAAGAAAATTTGAAGTATTTTGTTATCAGGTAAGTCTGAATGAACACTCTAGAGGAAGTCATTTAAATCTAACACTTAAATGATTGTTCCATTGATAGCAAAGCCAAAATCTGATAATCATTGATCCTTCTCTAAAATTCTCCATTAGTTGGGAAGTCTGCCAAAGCTCTCCTCTTTTAAGAAGAAGGCAATGAAATGGATTTGAATCACTGTAGCATTACATCAACTTCTCTCTTGGCAAAACTGCAAATGCACATACACAATAATTTTAGAGTCCTATTAGTAACACAAACTTTTGACTCAAGTATAGCCATGTTTCAAAGTTATTGTTACAGATGTACTTAAAAGTCTCCATTGACTCTTTTGAAACAAAGAACAAGTTTTCTGTGATAGAGGAAGCAGCTACTGATCCCCAGGGTTTCAGATTTAATCTGCCATCAAATATATCATAATAAAATTTTAACTAAGTAAAAAACAATATTCATAACATTAAGAGTGATCATACATCACAGGCAAAGAGAGCTCTGTTCTTATATTCCAAAACTCATTTCTCTTTGCATTTCCTATTTTATTTTTCAAGTTAGCTAGAAAGATCCTGAGATTTATATTAATCCCGGAGCCCTGCATAAAGTTTTGACTGGGAAAGAAAAAGAAGAGGTTCAATTCAAAGGGGAAAAAGAGTAACAATAATTAGCAATCTGAGAAAAGGTTTCACACACCAAATAAGCATAGGAGTAAAAGAATTGGGACAATACTTGCTGTTGGGAAGGCACAAGACCAATACTTTTACTAGAAAAAAACCTTAAGCTTAGAAGTGGATAAACTTTCGAAGACGCCTGGAACTCCATAAATTTAGACATTAGACCAATTTTATTTTGATGGTAAACTTCACAGAAGTGATCTCATGCTATGCATATCCATTTTTACTTTAAAAATAATACTTGAGTTTAGCATCAAAAAAAGCAATATATGCACATCTTTTATTCACTGATATATCTGGCCATGACTAGAAAAGCTAGTATATTGCAGATATTAAATAAATGCTTAGTTACT